GAGTGACTCATCGGCACTGAGGACTACATCGCAGTTCATGATCTTCAGCTTGGTGGATGGCGCTGGCCCCTGGGAGGCCGTTTCAGTGTAGCGCTGGACTCTGAGAGTGGAGTAGTGGGTGGAGTATGTGKTTCTGAGGTGGCGAGACACTGGGTTAAACTCTGYAACGATTACTGAGGTTAATTGAGTTGAGTTGGCTCATCATCAGTGTTATATTCCRATTGTGATCTTCGCAGTGTCATCTTGTGATTGGTTGTTGGGAGTCTGTCAGAGAGAGAGAAACACTGTGTGTATTCTCCCCATCTGTGCATGGTTGCTATTCCGCTGCTTATCTCTGGTTTGTGTACAGTTTGGACTTTGTCTCTCCTCCCCTTTGTCTTGTGCATGTATGGGCATGTGTGAGATACTTTGTGTGTGAGTGAAGAGAAAATTGTCAGACAACCAAGTTCATAACAGTTGGTATCGGAGATTGGGCTTGGAGCACCGAGGGTTGAGCGCAATAGAGGCACCCTCTCCTTCTGGCTCTATCTGGCGAGAAGTTCCATGGCGGTTCTTCATCTTCAGTGAAGACCCAGTAGAGGAGAAGGCATACAAGCGGTGATTGCAAGGATAAAGTGTGTGAGTGATCAGGCGCACTGAGCCTGTCTGAGCGCCTGACAGGATTTGGCGAGAACAGGGGTATTTCGCCATCCACCCGTTTGAACCCAGTTGATGACTGAGTCCAGGGTGGCGAATTACACCCTAACCCAGTGATACCAGGGTGGCGGCATCAAACCCAATATAGCGCTGAGGGAGAATTGATCGCAGGATCAATCTCCTACTGGATTAGCCCTAATCTGGGCTAAATTTAGCACCAGCGGCTTAGCTCTGCAGTGGCGAGATATCTTCAGGAGAGTTCTCTATCGCCACTGGGCCAGATTCAATGAATCTGAGAGTTGGGGTTGAAGCGCCACATAGTACTGAGCAAGACCAACAAGTTTCAGGAGATTCTACACGTGGAGATCAGTGGAGGAGTGTCTGCATGAAAGTGACGAGATCAGGGTTCTGTCAGCCATAGCCAGAACTTCATCATCCACTGGAACAAACACTGCAAGTGAGTGTGTTCCGTGTAAATCCCTGAGTAGCGATTAGTATAGGATCAGTAGAGTCTGAATTGATGGTCTGTCTGTCAGTGTCTCACTTTTGGAATTGTCAGACTGCAAGACAGCCATAGCCATCTTCTTCCTCCCTACCCTGACCCATATCTCACCATCTGTTGACTCTTTCTGACTCAAATTTGTTCTGGGACTGTATGACAGTATTGCGCTGCACCCTGTATGATCATTTTGTGACTTCTGTACAGAAAAAGTAGTAATACTGTGAATGTTAGTTTTGCGTTGAGTCTATTTTTAGCCTATGCTACCTAGGGTCAGTCAAAACTTAAGATTTTGTCCGTCATAATTCAAGTCTGTCAGTCTGGGGTGAATCGCAATTCAGTATTGGTCATCTGTGCAAAAGCGCTGGCCCAGAATTGGTGAATTTGAGTAGTTACAGTGAAATACTGAAAATTGTTGTGTCAGTGGGTATTTTTGTTGATGTCAACCGTGGCGAAATTTGAGTTTAGGGCTGACAGGGTCTAGTCTACTGCATCGCTACTACTTGTTGCTCTGTGTTAGCTAGTTCTTGTATGTATCTGTCTCTACCACTGATTATCTTTGTTTTCTGATGGGCTATGGAATGTTAGTGATTTCTGTAATGCACTGAAACTGCATATTCCAACTTCAGTGAGAGTTCAGTGTCAGGTATAGGAAATCGTTAGTGAATGATTTTACTGGACTTTCAGTCTGCCTAACTACTGACCCCAATGATTGTATTCTAACCCTAACCGCTTGTGCCTACTAACCCACCTTACCCTGTGAATTGACAGTGCAGCGATTTTTGAGTGTCTGACTGGATTGTAAATCGCTGCACCTCTTGCTGCCTAACTTTGTTGTTAATCGTTTCTGAGAGGGAAAATGACTGAAACTGCTAAATCAGGTGAGGGGCAGGTAGAGGTTGTGGTCAAGGAGGAAGGGAAACCTTCCCCCTCTACTCCTCCTCCTCCTCCTCTCACCCCTGCGCAGCGGCGAAAGAGGGAAATTGAGGAAAAATTGCGAGAGCAACAGGCGCTCCTCGCAGAGGCTGAGAGACAGGAAGCAGCTGAATTGGAAGCTGCAACAGATGCCTCCCGAAAGGAGTTTCTGCTGCAGCAGGTTGAGAAGACTGTTTCAGATGAGAGGATAGCCCAGCTGGTACTTCTTCAAAACAAGACTACAGCCAGCCACTTTACTAACTGGGATGAGCGTATACAACGCTTGGAGGGCAGGGTAGGCGATCTGGCGACTCAGCAGTCTAAGATCTTGGATGCTATCCAGAATTTGACTGCTCAGTTGACAGCCGCCCGCCTGATCGCCCCTGTGACACCATCTACTGCCTCTCCCAAACCTAAACCGTCTTCCCCGCATTCTTCACCTCCTTCCTCTCCTCATGGTTCCCATCAGTCATCTCCCTCTACCTCCTCCCAGGCTAAAGTCAAACCTCCTCCCACTTTTGCTGCTGTTGTTGCAGGGGATCAGAGAGGACCCAAGATCCCTGCACCCAGGGGTGATGACCCCAAAACAGATGTTGGGGACTGGGCTGCAGGAACCCGGGCCTATTTGAAGGGTTTCGTGTGCCCAGAACAGCAGAAAGTGGCCACCGTTGTGGGGCTGCTGGAGGGCCCAACCCAGAAATGGGCTGCGTCAACAGCCAGCGGCCAGTCACAAACCTTGGAGGACTGGGCTTCAGCCTTGGGAGCAGGGTCTGAAACAATTTCTGATTCAGGATCCCGGCCTGGTACACCGCCAGGTGGGACTACATCAGCTGCTGTTTCAGATGTTGCAGCGGCCATGCAGCAGCTGCAGGCTGCGCTGGGAGCCTTCCAGAAGGCCGGGTCTTCCTCCAGCACAGCCTCCAGCAGCCAGGGGAAGAGCAAGGGACGTCGCTCTTCTACCCCTGCCCGGCGCCCTAACCTGCCACGTGGCGTCCGATTTCCAACAGACCCCCCGAACCCCAACACTCTCCCTTGGCATGATCTGAAAATCCAGGAGGGAGTGTGGAGAAAAAGGAAAGAGAGAGGGGTTTGCTTGAGGTGTGAGGGGCAGCACTTTCTCAAGGACTGTCCCTACATGCCAAGTCCAGCTCAGTCAAAAAACTGAAGCTGACCCTAGAGACAGCAGTTCCCTCTAGTGCTGCTGGTGCACCTGCTGATGTTAGTGCACCTGCAGCAGCTTCAGTTGAGACCTTTTGTGAACATCCCAGTATGGGGACTGCGCGGGCAGCATCCTTCTGTTATGAGGATCCTGACCCGGATCAGGAACCAGAGCAGTCTGAGCTTCAGGCTATTGCTGCTTTTTTCTTTCATCTGAAAGAACAAAAGCGAAGCAAATCTGATGTCATCCTACTTCGGCCCCTGATCAACCACAACCGGATCAAGGGGCTGTTGGACTGTGGAGCCACCAGGAACTTCATGTCTCCCAGTGCAGTCAAGAAACTGTATTTGGGCATGAAAGTTGTGCAGCTGCAGCAACCGCTGCAGGTCAGGATAGGTGACTCCACTGTACTAACCATCAGGGAGAAGGTCAGGGGCATACCTGTTACCTTCGACAGTGCTGGGGAAGTCAGACATAGTCTGAACTTCTACATATTCCCTGATCTACCCTTTGATCTGGTATTCTCCATGCAGTGGCTGAAAGCAGTCGACCCAAGGATCGACTGGCAGATCCCCAAGGTTGAGCTGCCTGACAGCAAGGGGGTGTATCAGCCATGCATGATTGCTGCTGAACACCACCCTAAGACTTCATGCTTCTGCCTGAGAGCGAGGGAGTTCTATGCTCTCTCCCGCCAGTATGACCATGAGCGTCTGTTCTTAGCTCTGGTCAAGCAAACGAACGCTCCCATTGTTGTTTGTCCTCCTGAGATACAGCAAGTAGTTGACCAGTATGCTGATCTGATGCAGGAGCCCGTTGGACTACCCAACCGGCCAACCAAGCATCACATCGAGCTGCTGCCTGGAGCGGTCCCTCCCAAGGGCCGCATCTACAGGATGTCCCCTGCTGAGCTTGAGGAGCTCAGAAAACAGCTTGAGACCCTGACCAGCAAAGGCTGGATCAGACCCAGCACATCTGAATTCGGTGCACTTGTTCTCTTTGTGCCCAAAGGGAACGGCGAGTTCAGGATGTACATTGACTACAGGGGTCTCAACAAGATCACTAGGAAGAGCACTGAGCCACTTCCTAGGATCGACGACCTGCTGGACATGGTTCAGGGATGCACGATCTTCAGCAAAGTCGATCTCAAATCTGGCTACCACCAGATTGAGATGGCAGAGGAGGATGTCTACAAGACAGCCTTCAAGACCAGATATGGTACTTACGAGTATCTGGTCATGCCATTTGGACTTTGCAATGCACCTGGTACGTTCCAGACAGAGATGCACCGCATCTTCAGGCCTTACCTGGATAAGTTTATGGTTGTCTACCTGGATGATATCCTGGTATTCAGCAAAACTACCAGGGAACATGCGGAGCACCTGACTCTCGTTCTTCAGTCGTTACATGACAGCCAGTATATAAGATTAACAAAGAGAAGTCATCTTTTGGGCTTCCCTCTGTTATCTATCTGGGGCATGCAATCTCTGGAGATGGTCTGGCTCCTTAAGCAACAAAAATTGTTGCTAATCAGGAGTGGCCACAACCTCAGACAGTGAGAGATGTTTGGTCTTTCTTGGGTCTGGCTTCCTACTACAGAAAGTTCGTTAGGAACTTTTCTGCAGTGGCTGCACCCCTGACTAACCTCACAAAGAAATACACTCCCTTTCTTAGGTCCCTTCACTGTCAGATGGCCTTCGCGTGACTCAAACAGACCTTGACTCGTGCCCCTGTATTGAAGCTACCTGACCCCACTTTGCCTTTTTGTCCTGACTACTGACGCCAGTCAGTTTGACATTGGGGCAGTACTTCAACAGGATGATGGGAATGGTCTACGGCCCATGGAGTACATGAGCAAGAAGATCAAAACCCAAAAGCTTCAGGACTCCACCTACGAGAAAAAGTTGTATGCTCTTGTCAGTGCCCTAAAGCATTGGAAGCACTTTCTCCTGGGAAGACACTTCAAGATCTTCTCAGATCATTCCACCCTGCAGTGGTTGAAGTCCCAGGGAGAGTTGAACGACAAGCTGGCACGATATATTCAGTTCATTAACATGTTTGACTTTGAACTGAAACATAAGAAGGGCTGCTACAATAAGGTAGCTGATGCCCTCTCTCGTAGGCCTGACTCTTTTGGATTGATCTCCTCTACTCACTCCTTTGGGGAGGAGACCCGTCAGACCATTGCTCGCTTACTGCCTCAGGACCCGACTTATGGACCCATTGTCAGGAATCTACAAGTTGATCCCAACTCTGAACCTGGGTATGCTATGAGTTCAGATCTGTTGTATACCTACAACAGAGGGGAGGAGCGCTTATGCATTCCTGAGGATCAGCAACTTAGGACACTGCTGATGTCAGAGTGCCATGACGCGCGTGGAAACTTTGGGTTCTTAAAGTCGTATGCAGCCCTGTCGCAGCGCTTCTTCTGGAAGGAGATGCGGAGTGAGATGCTGCGCTACGTGGAAACCTGTGAGCTATGTCAGAGGAACAAGGTTCAACGGAAACCTCCTCTAGGACTGCTCAAACCCTTACCCATACCTGATGGCCCTGCCCAGTCTGTGTCCATTGACATTACAGACTTAGGCAAGACCACCCCTCATGGCATGCGTCAAGTTATGGTTTGCGTCGACATGTTCTCCAAATACACAGAGTTCATCCCCTTACCAGAGGTGGCGAGGGTCCCGGCTGTGAGAGCAGCCTTTTTTGAGAGGTGGGTCACTCACCATGGGCCGCCCACTTCCATCGTCAGTGACCGAGATCCCCGATTTTGCAGCGAAGAGTGGCAGTCCTATTGCAAGGATTATCTGCACTCTCGCTTGGACATGACTTCTGGTCGACATCCTGAAGCCAATGGTCAGGCTGAAGTGATGAACCAAGTCCTGTTCCAGCTACTGCGTCCTGTCATCTCGCCAGATCAACAGGACTGGGATCTCCATCTGGCTCGTGCACAGCTTATGTATAATATGTTTGTCCATTCCTCGACTGGGTTCAGTCCTTATCGATTACATTGAAAGGTAGTTTTCGCCGTTCACCTCGCCTGCACCCCTAGCTCGGAGGTCCTCGCTCCCGGGGAGGGTAAGCCTGCAATGACTTGCTGATTTCTGCTGCCGAGATTGACTGCGAGGTTGTACACTAACTAGTAGGTTAGATTTGTAATTTTGTTTGGCTGAGGGCTAACCGAGAGACCTATCTGTAAGGAAATCCGTGAGGGACAGATCTGCAACTCCGGGAAAATACAGGCCCGGTACTAACCGAATTCCTACAGCTACCCTAACTGCCTACAGCAGGCCCGGGCTACCCCTAGGACAGACAGGCCCTAAGCGGCCTATACTGCTAGACGGTCCTATAGCTTATAGCCGGGTCCAGTAGAGGCCGAGAGGCCAAAACAGCAACGGTACCGGTCGGCCAGTCAGTCCGGTCTAGGTCTAGAGAGTCTATAGATAGGTTAGGCCCATCGATTCAGGGCTTTTGGGCAATTCATTTTCGCGTTACCGCATTCGTGGCCAAGGGATTTTTGCAGCGCTGAAAGTCTACAGCGGCATCTGAGACTTCAGCTGAGTGAGGCAGCCATAGCCAGTTGAGTGAAACGGCCATAGCTGGTGCCAGTCTCAGCGCATCTACCCTCTGGGGGTATCTGCGCCCAGCAGGGCTATTTCGGGGCTCTTCGTTGGGTATATGTGGGGCATTGTGGGCGCTGCTGCCACGGTAGCAGCTCGGCAGCCATAGCTGCCTTCTTCTTCGTCAGAGTGACTCATCGGCACTGAGGACTACATCGCAGTTCATGATCTTCAGCTTGGTGGATGGCGCTGGCCCCTGGGAGGCCGTTTCAGTGTAGCGCTGGACTCTGAGAGTGGAGTAGTGGGTGGAGTATGTGKTTCTGAGGTGGCGAGACACTGGGTTAAACTCTGYAACGATTACTGAGGTTAATTGAGTTGAGTTGGCTCATCATCAGTGTTATATTCCAATTGTGATCTTCGCWGTGTCATCTTGTGATTGGTTGTTGGGAGTCTGTCAGAGAGAGAGAAACACTGTGTGTATTCTCCCCATCTGTGCATGGTTGCTATTCCGCTGCTTATCTCTGGTCTGTGTACAGTTTGGACTCTGTCTCTCCTCCCCTTTGTCTTGTGCATGTTTGGGCATGTGTGAGATACTTTGTGTGTGAGTGACGAGAAAATTGTCAGACAACCAAGTTCATAACATCTCTCTCTCTCTCTCTCTCTCTCAACCT